TCGCGAGACTGACGCGTCATTACAAGGCGAGGGATTAAATTATCGTTCTGCCACCCCCAAGCGTCCGAACACTTTCAGAATCTTCCCCAGCACTGAATTCTGTCGAGTGGTCTCGTTTGTAGAGCTCTCGAGAGATTGACCCCGTGACCAACGTCCACGTTGACGACGCGTTCGCGGGCTGATCGTGACACGGCCCGTCGAGTGATTTCTTGAGTGGTCCGTTTGAGTGATGCACAGGTCGAGCCCTCTGCTCCCTAGCTACGGAAGCCTGAGGATTCTTTCCCCCAAGTTTGCTTAGGCTGCTCGACGAACCCAGTAATCGATTGGATTTGCATCTTCCAATCGGTGTTTTCGTTACGTTGCGAACTGTAACCGTCGACTAGTCCAGTGAAACCGATTTGCGAGTCTGTGTTAGGTGGTCTTTGGATTCTCCTCTTAACTCTGTCCCTTAAAAATAAAGGGTTCGACTGTCTGTGATTAATCATTCCGATCTTCGTGTAACACTAATCTCTTATCACACTGCCATTTACACTTGTATTCATAATTTCAACAGATCAATACCCAAATTAGACACAAACAAACCCCAAACTCTGAATCTTCAGAAAATCTATGAAACATCGACTCTAATTAACACGTCAGACAATTTTACAACGTCCAACACAGAAAATCGAGCCAACGATAATTCTTCGGTTAACACTAAAACTACCAGGGGTCAAATGACATGCCTGATGCATTTTTGCAATTACTAGAAAGGTAGGAAATGTTTCTCTGTAAATCTCTCTGAAAATTCAATTGTAAATCAATTAAAGTCTGAACAGTCTCTTGGAGTTTCTATAGAATTCTCAAAGGTCAATCGAAGTGCTCGGTAGTTTTAGCGTTAAGGTCGTCTAGATCACGACTCGACCCTCTAATCGCAGCTTCGTCGACCGCCCGCTTTCTCGCTAGCTTCCACTGACCCACGCCGAAGTTAACGCTCCCGACTAACACCGTGTCGCTCGAGAAGTCTTCGTTGTCTTCGTTAACAATCGATCTAATCGCAATGGGCCCGATTTAAGACTGGGTCCACCAGAGTCGATGGTTTGGTGCAGTTCTGTGATCTCTGTCGTGTTTGCCACCCCAACCCCCACGGACACGTGTGCCTTTTTTCCGTTGGTCCATGTCTAATCGGTGATGATTCGATATCTTCGGCGAAGGCCCCGCCTCCCAGGGCACACCTCCGAACAGCCCTGCCGCCGTGTCCGCGTTCGCCAGGGTAGTCGGGGCGGCGAGCCAGACGAACAAGCAACCCCAGAACCAGGTTCAGGGGAGCCCCCTTGGGATAGCCGCGGTTCTCCTACAGGGAGCGCAAGGTAAATCGGCTGGGGCCACGGCTGGCTGAGAGGAAAGCACGGTCCCGGCGACTCTGAGAATTGTTTGTTCCGTTTTCCACGATTTTTCACGGTTTTCCAGGGGTCGACGCGTCGAACGGCGCGTCTTTGCTAGGAATCGGTTGGACAGTTCTGGTAATCGTCATCGTTCACCCTTAACGGAGAAATGCTCGTTGCAGGGAACCTGACACTTTCGTCTGAGTGGTCAGATTGGACGCTCGCTTGACTGGCTGAGACACGCCCACCATCGGGTCTCCGCCCCTATGACGTCAGTGCCAGGTTTCTAGTAATCGACGGTGGCTACAATGCCGCGAGTATGGCGGCAACGATCGTTTTATTATTTTTATAATATTTACAATGAACGCATTAAATATTGCGCTAGATAACTACGAATTACCTAATGAATTTCCGCTTATTATCTGTTAGTTTTTGGCTGTAGATTTGAAATACCGATCCGTTAAGGGTGAACGTGTGCTGTGTTGATCGATGTTAATAGTCGTTGGAATTCTGGTAGTCGATACAGCGTTCGTTGGAATGCTGGTAATCGATGTTTCTTCCGTTTTATACGAAGGTTAAGTGAATATTGTAATTAAGACACAGGGAACAAATAAATTCGACAGACTCGCGTCGATCCCGCGCCGTTCTTTCGCCTCTCAGCTGGCGCACGACGGCCGCGACGTTTTTGTCACTTCCGCCTACGCCAGCGTCGACTTCGATCGCGATACTCGAATCACGGTTTCATTGAAGGGTTCTATCAGCGTCGATTATCTCTAAGAGGGAGTCAGTGCATCGAAGCGCGAGCTCAGCGAGCCGAATCTAAGCTTCGGGCAAGGTAGAAGGTAACTAACGAGTGGCGCAACGAGGTGATGCAACGAAATATTCGATGTGCAGCGAAGTGACGCAACGAAATGCGTTCTCTGTCGTTGCAGCTCAAGATCTCGAGCTGTAGATCTGATCTCTCCGTTCTGCGATTGAAAGATGTTCTCTGAGTTACCGAAGAAACTGATTTACCGAGACGCAAACTGACTCGCGAATCAGTTGGAGTCTCGATAGATCGATCCTCAGAGTATCTACAGAGAAACTTCGGATCACTGCTCGGTAGCTGAAACGTTGGTACGTTCGGTGGTTTTAGAGTTACTCACGGTTCGCCGTTCTAACGTCAACGAATCACGCGTCCCCGCGTAAAAAGGAAACAAAGGAAACGGAAAAACGACCTACGAAGCCTGTCCTCTCGACGATAGCTCGAGCATACGCCGAGACCGTGAAAGATTTACGCGGCGCGAGAGCGTGACGTGCAACCCGCTCGTAAAATCGGCGATCGCGGCGCGAAAAACCGGGGAAACGGAGCTCGGTGCCGGACGATCGAGGACAGCGACGTTTAACGCCGCTCGTCCGACATTTATGGCCCCGCGTTCCGCTCCGCGGCGAGACGCAACGTCGAAACAACGGAGAGCGGCGATCTCGTTGCCGGAGTTCGGACGTTACTCGAATCATTCCGAATGATCGCTCGCCCGAAGCGATTAGCGAGATGATTAAACCAACGAGTCCTCGTTATTCGGACGACACGCCTGGACAATACGTTATTCGCGGGAAACGACGTCGCTCGCGTTTGTTTCTGTGATTTAGCTTCGCTCGGCGGAACGCGACAAGGAGAGTTGTCGTCGACACCGGGAGAACAGACTTTTTTCTTTTGAATGTTTCAGTGATTTAGGTTTCGGTAGCGTTCGTCGGAATTTTGTTGGTAGATTTTGTTGGTGTTTCTTGACTTTTGTTGGTTGTACGGAATGTTGCACAACGCTGATTGAAACGAGTGTCGAGGGATATTACTGGAACTGATTGCAGTGCGTGCGTGCGTGCGTGTGCTTTTTTCTTGTTTTGTTTTATTGGTGGCTGGCAGTAAAGGTTTACGATCGGAGCCATCGTCGGTCACCGATATTTGCTGGCTCCCGTTGCGGCCGTTAACGGAAACGCGTTTTATCATGCTTGCGCCGCAGAATATGCAGCGAGTGACGGAACTATTCGAGCCGGAGTTCCTATTAATTCTTATTGAACGCGACCATTTTGAATATTCTTGTCTTTCGGAGGAGCGGATCTGTCCTTGAAATGTCTTCATCGAAACCAGAGTCACGATTTTCTCGTTCACAGTGGAAACAGTTTCAAATTTCAAATATTTCTGTCACTCATCGAAAAATCTGAGCGCAATGGTGCAAAACCGATCGAAATTCCTGGTAAGACACATCGAAACCGGTCGAAAGAACTTCAATGCGGAAGTTTCTATCGGTAGAAACGAAGCGATCCAATTACCGTCACGTTGTCGCCGATATCGACGATTATATTACCGAAAGACGCACGAAAAATCGGCGATCGTCGGTGATCTGAGGCCGCTGGCTTCCGCTCGAAACCGTTTATTCATAGAAACAAGACCGAAGAGCGAGCCGGCGGGCGGAAATCGGTGAGTCTGACATTTTCTTAGAGTCGAAGCATGACTTGGATTTCTTTTGTTTCCTCTTGTAAGAGTCTCCGCACCGTTCGCAACCGGACAGAACGCTCACGTTATGTTTTCAACCGATCTTTCGCACGCTTTTCACCAGAAACTTTGAATAATCTTCACCGAACCACCGCGCATATCTGCTTGCCTCCTACCCGTATCTCTCGCCCGCCATTTTGATTCACTCACCGAATATTCAATCTATCTATCTATCCGTCTCTTTTCTCTCTCTATCTATCTCTCTCTCTCTTTCTCTCTCTGTCTATCTCTCTGACCCTCGTCGACAGTGCCCCCTCCACCATTTCCGACACGATTGCCGATCAACAACTAGCATCTCATTCGCGTGCACCTCGTAAGGAACATTGTTTTTTTTCTCTCTCACTCACCGAGCTTACTCCTTAGTACTGTCTGATCTAGATCATTAACGTAATCGATTACAGTTTTCTGATTGAACGCTCCGCGAATCTTCATCGAGTCCGTCGGTAATGCCTTTCTCGAACGAGGTTTGCATTTTGATTCGCTTTACCGATTACCCACGACTCGTTGCTCTTTCTATTCTGGTTTTCTCTTTCGACTTTCTTTTTCTCTTTTTTTTCTCTCTGGTGAGTCTTCCCCTCGACGCCGATGCATTCTCAGTCGACGTTCACACGTTCCCGTGGACTCCGAAAGGAGACTCGTTAAAAATTCAACTTCGACCGTTCGAGTGCCACTTCGTTGCAATTCGCAAACTGACTCTATCTGTCTTCACATAGAAAAATTAAAAATATACTTCCGTTTCTATTTTCAATTATCCAATAACAAAGAAACATCAATAATCAAAAACAAAATAAATAGACAAACTTAATACAATTCTCCAAGCGAATGACACTTTTTACACGCTATAACGAAGAACCCTTGCCACTCGAACGGTTGAGCGATCTCGATACTCACCCATCACACTCGCGAGACATCGATCATTCGAGAAAAGCATTCGCCACGACGAGGAATGCAACGGTCGAGAGCGGCACGAGCGGAAACGTGTTGAAATGTAAAAGAAAAGGAAGATGGCGGTCGGGCATAGAGACCAAGAAGAGAGCACGGGAGGAAGCTGTTCTCGGTGGGCTGACAGTAGCTCGAGTTTTGGTTTTGGTTGGTTGCATGACTAGCTGGCAGCGCAGGGAGCGGTAGCAGCAGCGGTAGCAGCAGCAACAGCCAGAACAGCCAGACCGGCGCCTCGCCATCGTCGCCGGCGGCGATCTACATCGGGAACAACCACGCGACGACGCCCACGGCATCGTCGCGACGCTACGACTCCGCGAGCAACGGTCTGTATTAAAACACCTGTAAAACGCTCTACCGATCCCCATCCGCGCGAGAATCGGCCGACGCACACGGTATTACTCTTCTCCCCCGATATATCTGTCTTCTACTCTTTTTCTCTTTCTCTTCTCCGCACGCCACTGCCATCCTCTTTTTGTCTCCTTTTTTTCTCTGTTTCTCGTTCGTACGAACGATTCGGGAGCATTTTATGCGTTCAATTGTCTGCGCTCTTGCTCGAACACGATGGTATTCGGGATGCGATTTCTTCGAGAGCGCGTTAACAGTTTGATATGATAAAGGTAATGAAGATTTAGTGAAACCGAGGAATTATAATTACATCGATCTTCAGATGCAACAAAACTTTCCGTCCATATAGAGCTTCGGGAGTATTCACTCAAAGGGTTCAAAAGATTGATCGTGGATGTAAAGGGAAGAATATAATTTCCGATGATCACAGTTTGAGCGCAGAGGATTGGACGCTCGCGAATATTGCTCAATATTGTCTACGAATTCTTCGAACGTTCTATACTTGACTCGGTATCCAAATGATTCTGCACACTTCTTTGAACCAGTCGAACTTTCCAAAGTTTCGAATACTTTCTCAAACTTCCACCCAGAATCTATCTTCAATGCTTGAAGAACATTCTATTCCCAAAACGATCTTCGCAGTATTACCGAAAGAAGTGTACAGCTCCGGGTCTCCTTGAAATGATATTTGCACTTTCGTACCGAATCTCGCACCACAGCCCGCTTGCCCCGGCATCTCGATACCTCCGAATGGCGCGCCCGTTTGACCAATTCTCCTGTGTGTGTTTCTGCATGCTACCCGGTTTGCACGCATCGCTGGCATGCCGCGCCGCTGAATTTCGATTGCATGCGACCGCAAACAAAAAACACCGCGCCCCGAAACCGTTCAGAGCGGGATACCACCCGTCGAATCGCCGGGAGCAGCGCTGGATACGTGCAGCTTGGCCCGGCGGAGGGTTACGACCCGGAAGACGGTAAGAGGAGCACCGGCCCCGGTAAGGTCGCAGGGATCGGGAGTAAAAAGGGCACGAAGGACGAGGAAGGCTGCTCGAAGCTTAAACGGTGTTGCTTGTCGTGAGGCCAAGCGCGGCTCGAGACCTCGAACTTCTTTGATCTATCATACTCCGCACGATCGAACGGTCTACTCAGCTTGATTACCGACCAATAGTAGCTTCGAACCAATGCACTTCTCACTTGCACACTGATTTACCAGAGATTTATTTTTAGAGGAGATTTTCTGGAGTTATTCTTATCCGTCTTCTCGCGGGTTACGTCGGGATATTGTTGGTGATTCAAGGAAGATTCTGTGTAATGTGATTTAGTCATTTTTTTTAATTATTGATTATCGTGGAAGATATTTTGTTAGTTGTTCATTGAGTAGGATGGAGTTTTGGGGAATTAGGGGATGTTGGAATTGATTTGACGTTTTTACCTCTTGCGGAAATGAATTCAGAAATTCAGTGTTGCGAAGAATTCTGTTTTTGCTCATTTCACGTGTACGGTGATTTTGTTTAGTAATACTCTAAGTGTAGATTAATGTGTTTGAAAAGAATATAGTATGTGTAATGTAAGAAGAAGATAATTTTGGAATGAAAACTCGATGCGTGGCGCGTAGATTAAAACGCGAGAGATTAAAGAGGGAATTTAACGACTGTTTAGAAGATTAACTTCATTGCTGTGGAATATTCGTAAATCCTGACGTAACCTGTGTTTAGAAGGGTTTAGCGTTAGTACACTTCTGCACGAAAGAATTGAGATTGATCTCGAGTTCAAAATAGATGTAGAGGATTTCGAGGTCCGTCGAACGCCACGAAGGAGCTCTCCGCACGTCTTTTGCTTCGTGTTTGAGGAACGTTGTCCTCTGTTTTTTGGACGCCCGGTAGCGGCGGAGACGCCGCTCGTGACGACTGGTATTCTGTTTCTTGGTGGACGCTGGTTGGTTTCGCGATACGACGGTCTCTGAATGATTCTAGTTTTCTAATTAACCTATGGAATAGATTCATGATTCTTTTGCTAATAAATAGAAATGATCTTAACACTTTGACTGCCGAGTGAACACTCATATTATATCTCATAAATCAATGAAACTTAGTGATACGTCGCCAAGAAAATGAATGTTCAAAATTACGTTAAAAATGGTGTCACTTCGGATGACGTGGCAGTCAAAGTGTTAAATCAGTACCGAACATCATCCATAGAGATGAAAATACTAGTGAACATGTTTTCAAAATAAGTTTCAACAGTTTCGAAACAACGGTTTTATTAAAGAAAAATCAATGGTACATGTTAGACAATTTTCAGTTGAATTGAAAAGGATTAAGAGATAATTAATATCCGATGAATGCGATTAGTTTGACCCATTTGGCAAGGTCGTCGTGTCGCGACTCCTCCGCAGCGAGTAGTCACGGTTTTACTTCGTCGGACAGTGAACCGTAAGTAGCAAGTATCGATCTCGGTCAGGCAAGGAAGTCAGCAGGACACGGACAGACGGAACGTCGAGCCTTCGTTAGCGGTCCCAGGATTCTCGCCACTCGCACGAATCCCTTTACCTCACTTTTTCTCATTTTTATTATTCTTCTTTGTTTGTTCTTTTTTCCGTAGCAACACTTAGAGACACGTGGTGCCACATTCTCGTGTGTGGAGGCACGCACAAAACAGGATTTCGTTTATTCTGGCATACCGTTTAGCTGCGCGATCTGGCCATCGTGAGGTACCGTTTCTGTCGGAAAGTTGAAAATATTTTCTATCAGCAACATTGAAAGAACTAATTTTCTATCAGAATACGTGTCATTCTTATAATTATCTTCTACGTCAAGTTCGATAGGTAATTAAGAATTCTACATCAATTGAGTCCCTCGGGATTGCGATTAATAGATTGGTCTTCAAAATCTCTAGTTTCTTAATTTAATCAGAAAAGTATGTCAAGTATTTTCCCCTCCGAATAACTACGGAGAATATTATTTATTCCATTAAAATTGGCTGCTGTGCGAAGATCACCTCGAAATCGAGAGAATCGAAGATTGGCCGACAGTCAACTAAGACATTAGCGATCCGTCGCACCGGAAACGGTTCACGAGCGATGGCCGTCGCGCGTAGGGGAATTGAATTAGGCGCCGGCCCACCTAGATACTCTTCAGATCCACGTGTAATTGATTGTGTAGGCGTGACAACTGTGAAAACCGTAAATTTGCAAATAAAACTTGTATGAAACCCAATACCGACGTTGTGTTGTGTGAAACCAGAGAGTCGACACGGAATTCTCCGGACAGGCTTCGTAGCTAAACCGACGCCACTAACCCTTTCAATTCGAAGTGTTCACTGGTGTTCCCATAGAAAAAACATATCCACGTATAAATAAAGAAACGACGGTCGCGTAGAAAGAAATCGTAGATGTATCTCATCGTTCTCTTATCGACGACAGTGTTAGAATACATTCGACAAGATTGTACGGTTTCTGACGAACTTTAAACGGCGAAGAAAAACCGCTGGATACAGGAGCGAACAGCGATTCTCCGTTTGAAACGTCCTCGATCGAATGTTCATTCCACATGGGAGCTCTCCTAACGACAAATGATACCTTCGTATCGAACCTGCGAACGTGCAAAGAACGAATATTCGAAGCAACGTGTCCCTGACCGTCGACCGTTATCGGCCGCCGCCATCTTGGGACCGATTTCGTCCGCCATTTCGCGTCGGAATCGTTGAGAAACGCGGTTGCTGGTGCGGACCGAGGGGAAGAAGAAGATGGAAATGTAGGGAATAGCGGTGGAAACGATGTAAGGACGAGAGACGGGCCCGGAGGAGACGGTTGATCCTCTTAAAATCGCGGGGATTAAGCTCCGCGGCTGCGAGAGCGTTACCCTTTCGGCGTGCACGGGCTCTCAGCCTGAACGTTAGGTCAACGGGAAATAAATGGCCGACGCGGACTCCTCGTCCTACACTGGATTTACGTCGAACGGACGGATTGATGAATATGAATCTGTAATGTCAGGATTACGTTGGGATGATGTACGTTCGTGTTATTCGGTTTTCTTCGTATTGGAGGCACAGGAACATAAATTTCACGTACGTGTAACTCTGTGCTTCGTTATTGATTACTGGAATATCCATTTTTATGGCGCGAGTTTCTGTGAATCAGTTTAAGCTTGAAATTGGACATACATGAAATGCTTCGAGTAACGTTAATACTGAATATTTCGTGTACATTCTTCTCGGTTAATTGATCGTTTAAAAATGTGGAGCAACGCGCGGGAAATTAGTTAACAGTTCTTCCCTTATTCCAGTTTGTAAAACTGTACAAAAGTGGGAGTATTCATTTCAGTCGCGATCTTTTGTAAGACTGGTAGATATTTCTCTATCGAAGACGCGTACTCCGACAAGATGGCGTCTACCGTCTACGAGACGCGAAAGTTTCGAAGAGCCGTTTATTTCCCGCGTGCCTGGCTGGTAAACACCGACACGAGAAACTCGGAGAAACGGAAAATATGGGAACGGTGTTCCATCGATGTCCCTTTGCCCGTCGATCCCGCGCGGATCTTAATCTTCCGCGACGAGACAGCTTCAGTCACGCAGAAAGAATATATATATATACCGCACTCTCCCGGCTTCGCTGAAAGAAAAAAAAAGAAAAAAAAGATAAAAGCGTTTCATTGAATATCGGAAACGGTATCTACACATATACCACACGTGTGTATGTATGTATATACAATATATATCTATATATATTGCTTGTAGACATAAGAATCGTGTGTCCTATCAAGACCTGCAGCCAGCTATCGACCAACTCCCAGTGCTCAGGTAACGAAACCAAAAAACACCTCAAAAATCGTATATCTATCACGGAACCGACGATTGTCAATGTGACTCACCTAAATTAAACCTCGACATTCGAGCGGGAAAAATGTCCATTCACGATCACCGTGGATCCCCGAAAGCGCTCGTAGCCGGCGATCTCTGTCGCGTTGTCAGGACAGCGCGGCAACCCCCATTTTTCGACGATCGATCGCCGTTTTATTAAATTCGCGGCCGTTCACCCTTCCCGCGCGAGAAAAACGAACGAAGCGGCGAGAATTACGCTGCACGATGGTGGTGGTCGCAGGGGAATGCGAAAAGAACCCACGGATCTTTCTCAGATTTTACCGATTTCCCGAAATCGTCGTGAACATCGTGCGAACGGACCACTGGACGTGAGTCCTGTTATAGATTTTTTTGGGGAACTTTTTTTTTTCGTCGGTGTTCGTTGTGCACCGTGTTACCGGAAAGTTTCGAGGATCGTTACGAAAACTGGTCCGATCGTTCTCGTCGCAGTTTCGGCTTTCCGTGGCCGTTTAATTGGCCGATGAACGGATCAACGTACGGTCAAAAGCTTCGAAGTGAATTCCACGATTGTTCGAGCCAGGGAATCGTGAATTTCGTAGTCGGGAATTGAATGGAATCATCATTCGCGACGCGTCGATTTTAATTAATTCCCTCGAAACAGGTTTTTCCATCGGGAGGCCGAGAAACTCGGGACGCCGGAAGTTCCGTTCGCCCGCGGATCGAAAGTGTGCTCGAAACTTCGGAACACCGGTGCACGCTATCGCGCGGAATTTCCGCGGAAATGTTTCGAAAATCACGTTCGCCGCGGATAATCCCCTGTCGCGTCCGAGCGGGCGGTTCAGTTCGCGTCGTTAACCGACGAACAGGGGAGGAAGTTGATTCAAACTTGATTCGAACAGGCTGAAATTTCTATGAAACGATTGGGGAATCATGCGTATTCTTTCGCAAGCCGAAGTTCGGAACACGAAGCGAACGAAACGAGAGAAAAAAAAAGAAAAGAAAAGAATCCACGGGAGGAAGCGGCGACAAGAATTGTCGAATGAAAAGGAGAAAGCACGTTTCCCGTCGCTGTTCGGTCATCTTTAACGATGACTTCCGGTTCCGTTTAGCGCGAGGGACCCTCGCGACTTCGGATCGGAATTGGAAAACGCTCGACGGCCATTTTGTTTGACGGTCGGAGCGCGAAAAGACTGGGGAGCCCCGAATCGCTGTGTCTCGTCGATGCGACGGTCCGTGGATAGTTTCGAATTAACGACCGGAAGTCGAGGAAAAACGAGAGTGAGATATGGACCGGCGGCCCCGGCATCGACGGGAACAGGTTTAATCGCTTCCATTCGAACGGTGTCGCGCCGGCGTCCATTTTGCGCACGCCCCGCCCCCCGGATGCCGCCCTTGGACCCGTACGACCCGTCGGAAGTCGGCGCGACGGCGGTCGAATCGGAAACGGTGATTCATTGCACGGGAAAATCAGTCCTCGAATGGTCACTCTTGATTTTCCCATTATTTTCTTTGTCTGATTAGCGGAAATTAGAGAGATCTTTTTTGTTTAGCGGTTGTCACGGTTGGACAGCGGATCTCATTGATCCATGGATGATAAAGTAGAGAATAGTTAACGATAAAGTAGAGAAATTTTTACTAAACGAATGCAGTTTCTGTTTGAACTTACTGGAAAGATTTTCGATTTCGTGTAACGATCCGCTGTTCGATTGGAATTTTGATGGAGGATCTTCGAAAGAACCATTCGAGGATCCAGACATTGGAGTCCGTGTTTAATGAATATTTCGGTTAATTTAGACGATGAGTTTAATTATTCTTTCTTAGAGGTTTTTACCAGGTGAAGGTAACGACGAGAGATTATTTGTTTCATTTTTTCTGTTCCTTTTGAGGTGACTCCAATGGGTGATTTTGTTTTATTTTTGATAGTCTTTGGCGTAGGACGTAGAAGTTGATAAAGATTCGTGTATATGTAATCTGTTGTGCCGTACGATGTGTCGGTAATCAGCCCGGATCAATTTTCTGTTTCGTCGATCGGGCCTCGTGCCGAGATCACGCGTTTTCGACTGACCGATGATCTGTTGACGATTACAGCACGCCGACAGGAGATTATCAAGATGACGGAGCAGCTGATCGAGAGTATCAATATCGGAGACTTCGAAGCGTACACGTAAGTAACACGAGGAAACGATACGATTATCGAGCACACGGCAATTCATAACGGTACACCGCGAAATGACTGGTACAGTTATTCTGAATTATTCAAAGGAATGAATACATTAACCCTTTACGGTTTCTGTAACATTGACTCCGAGCTTCGACGTTTAAGATCGAAAGCAACGAATGCATAATTTAATTATTCAAATAACAGGATACGCGTAGTTTTCATCTTCTTCATTACTTCGGACTTCAATGCATAATTTAGTTTATATGCAAAGAATTTTTAAAAGTTTGAAAAGCTTCCCACCGCGAAAGGCTAATGTACCAGTATTGCAATTAAAATGCAATCGCAGTGAATGAAACTTTGCAAGGATGCAGATACAATCAGTTTCGCCACTTCGGAGATCGGTTTAACATTTTCGATAGAATTTTCGGAGGACTGTTACATCTGCAGATGCATAGTTATGATTCATTTTAAAATAAACGATCTACATAATTCCGAGCAAACTCGAAGTTCGTTGGACAAGGATTAAACGTTAACTTGGATCGGTTAACGCGTAAACACGCTCGAAACTTCTGCTCCTTGCAAGGATAATTCGATGCGGACCCTCCCAAAGGATACGCCGGGCACCACGGCGAAATTCTAATGATGTTTACGCTTTCAGGAAAATTTGTGATCCACACCTGACCGCATTCGAGCCGGAGGCTCTAGGTAATTTAGTGGAGGGAATGGATTTCCACAAATTTTACTTTGATAATGGTAATTATGAATCGTTTGCATCACCGCTAATCGTCAACACCGCGTCGTGCAACCACTGCGCACCGTTTCCGTCTACGTTTCTAACGTTTCATTTGTCGTTTCCCCGTTCCCACCGCTGCACGTTCTCCGTCGTTCCTTTTCTCGCGTTGGCCCTCGCACGAACGACCGAAAGAACGACTCGTTTCTCGTCGGAATCGCGCGAGAAACGCCGAAGTTCTCGCGCGCGAATGCCGTAAACATGGCCGCCGCCTTGTGCACGCGTCGAAATCTCCGATCGATCGGCGCGCATTCGCGGAACCAAACGTTCACTCAGCTTCTTATTGCACCTTTGACTTTCTTCATAGTTTTTTCTATATATAAAACGCATTTCCCTTTGAATAACCAATGCACGGTTACACGGTACAGTTACTCAGTATATTTAAAGTAATCTGAAAATCGTTCGCGTTTGTTCCCTAAAAATTCGATTCTACTAATATTCCATTACTTGCATATAGAAACAGACAAAATGTGTTAGAATTGGATATCACGAGTAAAACAAAAGGGAATAGAGATTAAAGGAGGTAAAAAAATATCGTAATCTTCTCGAATTGTTAGCGTAGACTCTGTAAACTGTAGAAATAACGGTGCGAGTTTCTGTACGCGCGTAACAGTGTAGAAGAAAAGCATATCTGCATGGAAATATTTTGCTAGTTCAGTGAAGATAAGCCAGGGAATTTTGTCTGCGCACGTGTACCTCCATTCTATCTTCACGCCAGAAGGTTTTTTCGAATCGTTAGAACGTGTTTCCGCCACGTTTATCTTTCTTTCGCTGCTCGTTTCCATCCTGTTCATTTTTCCCCGAGTTTCGGCCGCGTTTTCTCTTCCCACCGCTCTCGCTCTCTCACTTTCTCACTCACTCTCTTTCTCTGTCTGTCTATCTTTATTGTACCTTCGTTTGTCTCCGCGTTCGTCGAGTGGCTCCGCCGCGTCGAATCACAGACCCTCGAATAACGAGTGTTTTCCCCCTTTTCAAATCACCAAGCAGTCCTGGGGAAGAACTGCAAGGCAGTGAACACGACGATCCTGAACCCTCACGTGCACCTCCTGGGCGAAGACGCAGCGTGCATCGCGTACGTCAGGCTGACGCAGTACATGGACAAGTGAGTCGAATTGAACATCATTCCTCGTGCAACAATTAACGATACTTTTTCCTTAAAAAGAGTCGTTAACGACTACGTTGACATTTAGATTTCCTTTCCTCTTACTGGTTCCCTTCATTACCATTCTCTTTAACTTACAAGGGAACCTTTACAAAAAATTTCACTATAGATAGTTCGCACCAAAATAAACACAGAGTCACTCTAACGAATATACCTTCAACCCTGACCATTGAGGGATGTTTTTACCCGTCGTTGACCGATAAGAAAAAATCGTCAAATATATTCTCGAGAACTACGTCTCGCATAAGTTTCATTAAAGTCGGCGTGCAATGGTTGAAAACATTCCTCTGCTAGCAAAAAATCTCCGAGTGCGAAGGTTCCGTCCAATAATCTTCCAGTAATTACAGCAACTCCTCTCCCCGCGTGACCCAAGGGATAATATATTCCCCGAAACCGACCGCCGCGGTATTTGTCTTTAATTAGCCGAGTAATTTCCGCGTGGAAACGCGAGCTGCTGGCGGTCAGGGTTCGATCCCCGCTGATCACGTCCGATCGTTATCTAACCGCTTCGAAAATGTTGGTCACGTTTCAGACATGGGGTAGCGCACACTCAGCAGAGCGAGGAGAGCCGCGTGTGGCACAAGAGGGACAACAAATGGCAGAACGTGCATTTCCATCGGAGCGCGGTCACGGGCCCGTCGCCGTTCTCGTTCAGCCACAAGTAAATCGTC